GCTTGCTTGTAGATCCTTCAGTTGCCACATTACTCTTGTTTGCTTGAGTTGTTGCATTTAGCATGACTGTCTTTTTGAAATCTCTCTTTGGAACCCAAATTTGTTTTTTATACATCTTTATGTTCAGAAGATTAAGTAATTATGAAAGTAAGTCTGCTAAGAGTTTTTATAGAACCATTACATTCATTACCTTGAGTATTTATTATTTTAATATTGATTAAGTCAAATCAATTTTTAAATACCGACTCTTGGAAATGATGTCTAGTATTCTGACCTATTAAGATCCTCTTAACACTTGTAAATTTTACTGTTAACTAGTTAACTGTTATTTCTGTTCATCTCCTTACTTCATTAATACTTTTGTAAGAAAATCTAAAGGGAAAATAAAGTGATTGTACGACTGCATAATATGTAATGATCAAAATAATTTTTTCATTAATCAAGCATATAAAGGATTACAATAAAAGCCGATTGGATTGAACTAAAGATTAAACCTAATCTAAATCATCCATGGCCTTGTAATACATCCAGTTATCCCAACTGATATCAGGTTCATCCTCATCAATATCCTCCTCTTCTACCTCTGGGATAACAAGTTGATAAAATATCTCGTTTATCCTTTTCTTTTATGTCTTCTTCATGGATTTTTTCCCTGACTTCAAAACAGCAGCTGATGGACCTGCTTCTGTTGGTCTTTGAGGTGCTGAGGACGAAGCCTCGTCTGAAGTGTTTAGTGTAGAAGATACAAGCCCAGTTGCAGATGCTTCAGAAACCACTGGCTTCTGAAGGTCTTGGATTTTCAGACTTGTAGAGTTCTCTGTAGCTTCTGTCATAATAGAGATTTTTTTCGCTCTCAGCTGAGGACTCCATGATGTTTTGATGGATGCTGATGAAAATGATTTTGGTTTTGGTTGCTTTTATAGTGGATTATGGGTAACCTAAAACGGCGGAATACAATCCTTTGCTTGATTCTTGGAATTGTTACGACCAATAAATATTTAGCATGCAATGTACAATCCTTAATGATCGCTATTACTTGATCAAAATACAAATAAATTTTAGCATGCACGGTACAATCCATTGCTTTTTATATTCTTATTTTTTTAATTATATATTTTTACTGCATATTTATGCAAAATACAAATAATTTCTAAAAAAAAAAAGTCCTTTTTAATTAAAAGTTGGGCCAGTTTGTTTTACCGTTAAAAAAAAAGGATTTTTTCTTTAGTTTTTGAAAATGAATTCTACAAAAATATTTTTTAAAATATTACAAATTTCTAAATTTGTTTTTTTATAAATTAAAAGACTAATTTTGACTTACTATAACATAAACCTACTTTATTGAAAACAAAACGTAGTCAAATTTACAGTTTTAAAAAAAAGTTGTATCTTAAAAATAATTTTTATGAAAAACTATTTGAAATATCTTCAAAATTAAGTAATTTTTTAAAATTTTAATAAAAAAAATTTTTCATAAAAATATCTGAAATAACTATTTAAATTAAATTTTTATTTGATATTTTTATGAAATTTTTTTTACATTAAAATATACTACACTATAAATTTTATTTTAAAATAGACAAAAACAAACGCGCCCACAATTATCTGTTCAATTTAAATGCGGAATCAGAGATGCATAAAATAAAAGGGGTGCAAGAAAAGATAAATACATAAGTGTTTGAGTAGGGCTGGCAATGAACCAAACCAACTCGAAGATAGTTCGGAATTCGACTCGACAATTAAATCGTTGAACTAGGTTCATGAACCAAATGAGTTGAGTATGAGCGAAAAATTAAGTTCGTTAACTAAATGAGCTGAACTTGAACTATACATAGTTCGACTCGTTAGGTTCATGAGTCAACTCGATTACATATGAAAAGAATTATATTGTCTTTAAGATTAGGTTTAAATATTTACTTCAAATCTTAGACAAATTTAATCTTCAATTTAGTAGTTTTTGAATTAGACTCTCAAATGTATCTCTTGAAAGTTGTGTAAGTTTTGAATTAGTAGATTTCGAAGATAAAGTTAAATTTTAATATGATAACTTTTATTTTATTTTAATATTTTATTTAAAAAATATATATTTATTTAAAATGTCAAATATACTAATATATATATATATATATATATATATATATATATATATATATATATATATATATATATATATATATATATATATATATATATATATATATATATATATATATATATATATATATATATATATAAATAGTTTTAAGTTCGTGAACCATGTGAGCTGAACCTAATGAGATGAACCTAACGAGTCGAACCGAACTGTTCGTGAACTTATAACGAGTCGAGTTTGAGCTTAAAAAAAAGTTCGTGTCGAACTCGAACTCGAACTCAAATTCGAACAATTCTTAACGAGTCGAGCCGAGCTGAGGTGAGTTCGACTCGACTCGACTCATTTCCAGCCCTATGTTTGAGGCTACTTAGTTTCAAAATGAGATGTAAGGGGGTGTTATTCTCTAAACATATTTGTTAGTAGCATCTAGGCCCAAATAAATTAACCTCTGCGAAGAGCGAAAAAAACCTTCCAGACTTTCATCTCGAACATTCTCGCGCGCACAGCACCTTCAACCTACACAATCTTTCTCTTTTTTTCAATTTTTCGTGGAAAACAAAAGAAGTTGAATCCTATTTCGCTGAGTGCACCTAAGAAGGAGCACTACGAATTAGTGTTTAATTTTTTCCTTCTACTTGTTCACGGTGAATATTCGAATATTTTCTACTCTTTGATATGCATATAAGGTGTTTGTAAAATGTTCTGTATGGAATGGATTATCCTTTTTGAAATTCTGTGCATGTATAAATTGTTGTTATTGTTATGTTTTTGATGAATTGGATGTTGGAATCATATATGAAAATTTGTGTTTTTTTATAGGAAATTATTAAGGATAGTGAGAAGGTTTTACTTCAATAGAAGTTCAACTCCCAGGATATTGACTTGATTGCTGATTGAAGACTCTGATCAGTGATTACAACTTAGTGAAAGTAACTTATTGGCCCCGGTGTTTGAATAATGGCAGATACTATAGTTACATCTGACCAATCTTCTACTTCCTCGCTAAACGCTACCCGAATAATCTGTCATGTGTAAGTTCCTCTGGATTTTATTATAGTTTTTTTAAACATATTTGATGTTTTCTATTGAGATCATGATTATATAATGCTTCCCCACATTTTTTTATTCATTTTTTAAATCTCATCTCATATAAGAGAAATATAATTGTTCGGTTTTCTTTGAGCTATTTTTCAAATGTTTATTTAGTAGTAAGGATAACTGATCAAACTATTCTCTTTTTTACATTTTCATACAAAAACAGATGTCAGAAGCAGTTTTCCCAATACACATGTCCTCGATGCAATTCACGATACTGCTCCCTCGTGTGTTATAAAGTAAGTTGAGTTACAAAATGGTTATGTTTGATTTGTGTTACAAAGCTTTGTGTGTGACCCAACACCATTAACTAACTAGTTGATTGGAAATAATGTTATGTGGCACTATTGTGCCAAGACTCAAGACAATCGTCAATAATATAAATGCTAGTGCTACAAATGTTTTGGACTGAACTACTGATTGAGGAAGTATACTTTGTTTACTATTGCATTTTACTTTTCTCTTCTCTTGTTTTACAAAGTTTAAAGAAAGTGTTATTTCAATTTTGGTACTGCATTTTATTTCTAGATGATATATTTTGATGAGGCTATAAAGCCAGGCTGCTGCTCTTGTAGTGTGGTTGCCTTGTTTCTGTGCATGTTTCTTTGTATCTTCATCTGCATGTGTGCCTACTTTACTTTGGTCAATAGTCCAATGATCTGATGGCAAATTCTTTTATTTGCAATGATTATACTTTATTTTGATGATGGATGTGTATGATTTTTATACAAATGAATCATCAATTTGATCGCTGACATTGTGAAGGGATAAGTCATTTGGTTTTTGAAATTAATGAAATTCAAAATCAATCTTTTGTGGAATTAAAAACCCTTAATCATATTAGTGCTTTTCCAAGACAATGTCTAGGACTAAAAGTACCGACCCTGAAAGACTAATATGATTAAGGATCTTTAATGTCTGGGATATTTTTTATTTTCATTAATATCAGGGACCAAATTGCCTTGATATTTATAATTTATTGTACCAAATTGCTAATTAACTCCTTTCTAAAAATACTCTAATCAAGTCTTGTTCCTTGTTTGCAATGAACCTCTATAGTTTTGATCTTTTTTATTGTCGTTTTTACAGTCTCATAGTCTTCGTTGTACTGAATCCTTCATGAAAGAAAATGTTGTTCAAGAGCTCCAGCAAATGCAACCTGATGAACAAACCAAACATAAAATGTTGGAAATACTGAAGAGATTTCATTCAGAAGAGGAAATGGATAACATGGATGAGGATTGTAAGTCATCCATACTTGCTTTCCTTTCAGAAATTCAAATGTTTCAGAGTTGTTTTACTGCCATCTTTCTTGTTAAATATTTATCTCTGCTTGTGAACTTATTTAGTTTTGTATTTTTCATCTGAAGCATATTTTTCAACTTATAGTAATGGCATTCAATTCAACAACTTTCTAGATTTTCTGTCAAAAAAATACACCTTCCATTGCTTTATCCCAGAATGTCGAGCTCGTTATTCAATGCATTGGGCTCTATTAAAACCTAAATTTCAGTGAGAACATTTACTAATTCTCCAAAGGGCCTGAAGGATTATGCCCCTGTACTATTAGTCCCGCGAGAGAATAAAACCCCCTCTGGATGTTCAAGAGATGTTATTGTCATTCAAATTTGTTCAGTCAAGATTGCTGTGTTAAGCAACGAACATGCCTTGGTGGCACTAACTTTTAGTGTGGCAATAATCCTGTGTAATGTGGCAACTGGAGAATAGAACATAGTCGGCCAGTAACTTGTAACTCTGTCATACTCACCCAAATCTCTAAATCCAGAAACACCCCTTCCCTTCCCTTCTCCTTTGTAGAATTTGTTGTAATCAAAACTCTCTTGTGGAATGAGCTGACAATATCATCAATCATACAAACACATACACCCTCTGGTAACTATTATAAGCAATATTCCAGTTTTCAGTTTTTTTTGAATAACTGATTTATTTGGTGTAATATATACCATGAGGCACTGACACTTCTGAAAAAAGATATGTCCGTGTCTGTGTCTGTGTCAGACACCTGCACCGACACTTGTGATTATGTTTAATTTATTCAGTTTTTTAAATTATTACCGGTGTCGCCATTTCAGTGCCGGGGTCGTTTTTGGCGTGTCCGTGCTTCATAGGACCAAGTTATTCAATGAATCTCAAATGAATTTTTGCTGATAATAGTGACAGTAGTACAATGCATGTTTCTCTAGCTGCTTGATGAGTCTAGCTTCTGGTTTGACTTTACTATGACTCTGAGGCTTCCAGCATCAAATGGCTGATTATGTAGAGCAGGATAAATCAGCATTATTACCGTCTCTCTCTGTTTGAAGATCAGCATTCTATAGCCCCTCCTACTCCCATACCATAGCATACCTTGTAATACACTGTCCAAGAAAAATCAAAATGCCATGCTTTCATAACAAGCATCCCCAGAGAAGCATGAAATATCAATATTCACATTGAAAATGTGGGCTCATGGCCATGCATCATCTGCTTCACAACATCCTTATTATTAATGAAGTTTTGAGAAATTGAGTGTTTAAGAGAGTTTGATGGAAACCGAATATAATTTTTATTTGCTAGTTGAACTTTACAATGCATGAATAACAGTATAACTGTCAGTTATTTCTAACTGACATAATTAACCGACACAGTCAGTTATTTCAGTATTAGGGTGATGAAAATCTGAAATAAGCCCAAATGAATAAGATGGACTACCCTTCTTTCTCTAAGCATGGCACTGCCATCCCATCACTCCTTTATACCTGTTGTGGCTGCCATTCTATGTCATGTGAGAACCCCCACCGCATTCCAATAAGGAGTCAGACATAGTATGGATCTATTGAGGCAACTGCAAGAGGTGAATTCCACTCAAGTTGTTGCACCACCAATATTATTTAAGGAGTTGACATTAGTTTCCTTTTTATGAATTTTACTATCAGAGGAAAATATCTGTTTGCTTTTGCTATTTGTTAAAGGACTGCAAAATGTTTACGAACTGTGTAAATGAGTTAATTTTCTAAAAGATGTTGGCCTTTCATAGTTGCTAATTGATGTATTGTCAATGAAGCATTTAGTTAATATGGAATCTAGAATTACTGAAGCCTAGCATTGTTAATCATTTAACGTATGTAATTTTCTAAACAAATTATCACATCATAAGCGAACTTTTATTATTGTGTTTTATTATGTTGGGAAGAGTTTTTGATGTTGTAATTCCCCAAGCATACCGATAATGAAGATACTGAATTTCTATCTGATTGTTTTCTCAGCTTTTGAAGATTCAACTTTGTCTGAGGAGACGATTGAAAAAATACTGTCAGGTATGTTCCTATTGAATTTTATTCTTTATTGCCTGGGTCTTCTAACTGCTCTACCCTTGCACCACCAGTAAAAATAATTGTGTCCATCTCATGGTTGGGCGAGGCTGATTTGATTTTCATATCCCTACAGGACAAGAAATCAGTTTTGATGATTTATCTCTAGAAGAGAAGAAACAATTTCAACGAGCTATTGCTTGTGGGGAATTAAGCAAGATGGTCACACCATGGGATCCATGGTGGTCAAAGCATTCTGCCAGAAATATTCGTCTTAGTAAGGAAGGAACTCAACTTGTTCAACCTCTTTCAGAGCAGGAATCTCTTGATGACACTGAAAGTAACGAATCAAGTGAAATTCCTCTTGGCCCTGAAGTTCCGCTACCTCCTCTAAGTAGGCTTAGTTCCAAGGAACCATCACCCCTTTTAACTGTTCACATAGTTGATATTTTATACAGCTACTGCTTTACTCTTCGCCTATACAATGGAGATTGGAGGTCAGATCCCATAGGGTCAGCCGTGGTTGTATTGAGCGTGTCCTCAGTTTTGGGTCAAGGTGGGCAGCCAGAGACTGTACTGGAAGCCCTCACGCACTGCTTGGAGCAAGTATGCTCTCCTGCTTACAGACACATGGGGGGGCTGCAATTCGGTTTAAGTGTTACTGATGATGTGATCAGTTTACTTTCACTAGGTGGTCCTGCTATGGTGTGTGCCCTTTGCGATTTGCGTAGGTTGATTCAAGAAGGTGAAAAGGAGGCCAAATCAGAAAAGCCAAGAAAGTTTAGGAGGAATGAGACTAGAAGTGCTATTAAGCAGGCAGAAAGAAAAATATATTTCATCATGTGTTGGGTCCATGAGCAGCCAAAGGAAGCTTGGTCTTCTTTAGCAGCCATTGTTACGACACAAAAAACATTGGCCATGAAATTTCAGGGGAGTAATAAGGCTGAAAAATTGAATAGAGCAAAAACCAAAAGCAAATGTTTAATTGAGGAGATTGAATGATTTATGCAAATTGTTGTTCCCTTAGGTGTGTGTTAACCACATTTATTATCGTTTGAAAGTGTGTAGACTTGAAATAGTTGCTCTCAACGCAGGTTCGTACCATATACTTTTAGATGTAGAAATCTGCATGTTCAAATATGGGTGATGTATCAAACTTCTTTTTTATTAATGATCTTAGAACATTCAATCATCAGAACATAATCGTTCACTAGTCATGATAGATATTGATTGGTTTTGTAGCCAAAGGTAAATAATTTGACTCTGAATTACTTTAGTCACCATATTTTCTTTTAAATTTTCGTACTGCAATCAATTATGTGTGAGTCATTGGCTATACTCTTTATCTTTATGTTAAAGAGTTTCACATCTAACAATAACTTACAGGTTCGTTTTTTAGGGTTGAGATAATTCCAACCATTTCTATACCACGACTCTTCTTTTATTTTGTTAAAAAAAAGAGAGAGAAAATGCATGGAATTCTTAATGATTAGTTAGCAATGATGTATCCTTAGTTACCAATGATGTACCAGTCGTAAACTTCCAAAAGATAACGTGTATAATAGGAAGCCTTCCATGAATGTAAACTGTATACTCCACTTTCACTTGACTAAAGTGATAGCAAATCCAAATTCCACACGCATTGGTCATTGCTCAATGCACATGTGTAATTCCAAATTGGTCATTGCTCAATGCACATGTGTCGCATTTAGAACTCTCCACGTATCTGTGCCAAGCCCATTTTTTAGAGATTAGTTTTTTTTCTTCTAGATAGTTGTTAAATCTTATCGAGATAGAAGTTTATCTTTACAGAATATAACATGCTATTCCTCAAATTATACCTTCCTCCTTAAATTTTTATATTTTTAAATTGCCCCTAGTTGAGAAATAGATTAAATTTTTGTATGAAATTTCCCGTAATGAAATTTTTGATATTGAATAAAATTTTCGATAATGTATTTGAAATTTTCGGTATGTCGGACATTTTTTCAGGAAGTTGTAAACAGTATCGAAAATTAAAAATTTACATGGTGATACTGGAAATTTTAACCTAAGTGAAATTTTCGGTAGTGTTATTTGTTTAAATTTTTTTGAATAATCAGAATTTTGTCGACAATTTTTGATAACTGTGATTACATCGATAATTTTGTGGTCCACAATAAATACAAAGTTGTATAAATAAGAGTTATATGTTGATTGATAAACACATCTAGAAAAATGCATCTTCTTTAGTTTTTTTATTAAGGAAGAAGTGTACTTCAACGGAACTTCTCATCCTGTAGAGTTTTGGCTTTCGAATGACACCACATATCTTGTCAATCTGACGTCAAAGTTGAATGAATTGTTACCTGATGCCAAAAACAGAAAGGTGAGAAAGATTGAGTTTCGTGAACATTGAATTGATACTAACGGGAGGGGGGGGGGGGGGGGGGGGGGGGGGAGGGATGTGAAATACAATCTTATTGAGTTGAAGGTCGACGAAGATGTGAAGGAACTGTGGAGATCATCTCGCCGTAGGATAACAAAGGGGCTAATCAAGTTAGATGCTAAACTTTCAAGATCTGTTGATGACATGATGGAGATGATACAAATAATACAAAAGATATCTAAATAGCCCCCCCCCCCCCCCCCCCAACAGGATATGTGTGCAGCTTGAGATAATCTAGTATAAACCTCACCATCTGGGTTTACCAAACTCATGAGATTATCCATAATAATTGCAATCATCTAGAGGCGTTGCTGGTCATCTCCCTGATCTGCTAGAGGAGGCGGTGGCGGCACGTCATCAACAAGTACCTTGTCATCAAAATGCCCAACATCAGCTGTAGGTGGGGTGATGCGAGAGTGTGATACAATGAGGTACCACTCTAAGTAACCATCCTCACATTGCGAAGGATGCTGAATTGTGACTGCTCGATCTCTAATGGCATGACTAGAGTTGTTGAAGTTACACTAAAACCACCAATCAATACCTGAAAATGGTATATCTGGAACTGATCATGGGATACTCTGAACATAATCATACTGTCGCAGACACCTCTCAAGCAAGTGTCTAGTGTAACGCCCCGATTCTGAATTTCCCATTATTTTGTTGAGTCTTTTAATTTATTTGGTTAGTTGTTATTTTATTGTGGAATTATGTGATAATGTGTTATGTGTGTATGTTTGGTATTTTATTATTTGGAGAGTTTTGGAAATTAATTAGAGGGTGTTTTAGATAATCCTTGATTAGTAGTTATTTTGAGAGAAATAGAGTAGAAAGAGTATAAGTGGAAAAGAGAAAGAATAGAGAGAATAGAAACCAAGAGGAAAGAAAAAGAAGAGAGAGAAAGGAAGAGAAGAGAAAAGAGGAGAAAAATCTAGAATCATCAAGAATCCACTTCTAAGCTTTCGATTGATCGGGTAAGGGTGTGAAACTTTATTATCCTTGCAATGTGTATGATTATGTGTGTTCTTGTTGGTTTTGTTTTGGATTGGGGAGAGTTTTGCTCATTTTTCATTTTTGGGCATAATGAGTTTAATCGGTAGAACGAATGTTTTATCGGGTAGAATCTGATGTAAGTGATGTAGAATAGACAGGGTATGATAGACTAAGGCTATTGGAACTGATTTGATGAGAATTGGTCGGCTTTGGAGAGGTTGGGAAATTTTGAATAGTGAGGAATTTCTGGTTCGCAGGCACTCGCTAGTTGTTCGCTAGGCGAGCTAGTCGCGAACGTTCGCTAAGCGAGTAGTAGCGAATAGGTAGTGAATGGTCCCAGACTTGGACAGAATGCATATTGTGGTGTTCGCTGGTAGTGAATGGGTGTAGCGAAGGTTCGCTAGGGGTTCGCTGAGCGAGCGAGGCAGCGAACGAAGTCAGAGGCTTCTGTTTGCCTTCGCGAGCTTGTTCGCTAGGCGAACAAGTAGCAAATACTCGTTAGGAGTTCGCTAAGTGAGTAGGTGGCGAACATGTCAGGTTGTGTTTTCTTTAATGTTTCCATCCGAGGCCGGGTTTCCGACTTAACTTTGATTATTTTCTTGCTCGAGACATCGATCATGCTGAGTTATATTGTGCTGTGGGTAGCTGTATGGCGTGAATCCTAGATTGTGAATTGTGGAATGTGTATGTGGCCGTTTGGCAATTTTGTGCAATTGTTCGAATTAAATGGAATTGTATGGTGATATTGATGTGAATGTGCATAATTGTATGTACTTGTATGATGTGTAGAATGCTTGAATATGTTTGTAAACATGTGTGCATTTAAGAGTGTATTGAATCGTGTTGCATGTGTAGCATCATGGTTGCATTCTTGTGTGTCTGATCCCGCGTAGGATCTGCAGAAACCTCGTGTGCCCTTGTGGGGTGTGAGCGATGGTTTAGTTACTTTGATCCCTAGGAGGATCTGCAGAAATGATCGTGTGCCCTTGTGGGGTGTGAACGATGGTTTATTTTGATTCCGTGGAGAATCTGCAGAACAGTTGTGTGCCCTTGTGGGGTGTGAGCAACTGGATTGTGTGCCCGTGTGGGGTGTGAACAATCCTGAAACTTCATGTGCCCATGTGGGGTGTGAGCGATGGGTGAACATCGTAGGCCCGACGGGGAGTTACTTTGATAACGAGCGATGGTTCCATTTTGGTTCTTCAATTGAACCTGCTGAACGAGTCGGTACCCGCATTTGCATCTGCATAGAGTCGTGAGTCGGTCTCTATGAGTTGCATTATCATCTTTATATGATGCTCTGGTGAAATGAACATAATTGTAAATGTTTAAGTGAAATGCCATGAATTGTGAAGCATGAATTGGTGAATGTGATTGATTATGTACGTGTACATTGTGATGTGTTGTAACAAGTTGTGGTGAGAAATGTGGATTGCGTGTATGTTATAATTGTGTTTTATGATATATATATATATAATTTTATGTATTGTTTGTTATGATAATGTTTCTCACCCTTCTGCTGTTTTATAATGCTCTATGAGGCATTGTAGAGTAGGATGCTGGAGGTCTTTTGTGAAGCGAGTCTTCATTTCTTTTGGTCATATGGCTCTGATATGTAACATTGGGTAGTTAGGAATTGTTTTGATTCTTTTGTGAGACATCTGTGTATGTATCTGTTGCTGAATGTTTTGTAAACTTAATTGATGAATTGAATTAATCTGAATGATGTATATGATGCTTATGTTAATGAAGTGATTTCAATGTTTAGATGTTTCCGCTTTATTCTAAATGTTGACACGTGGGTTTTATGCATTATGCTTTGTTTTTAGTTGAGATTTACCCCTTTTGTTACATATCTTTATGAGCAGGTATTATTTATGTTTCGTTTCGATGATAATGTGATGCGCCTCTTTTATACCATGTTATAATTATACTTTGATGGAATTTTATTACGTGCCTAAATGATTTAATTATTTATTTTTGGGGGTATAGAAAGGGGGTGTTACATTAAGTGGTATCAGAGCCAGTGTTGAGTCAGTTGTGTTTGTCTTCTTGTTGTGTTGGTTAAACGGTTGTTTGACCTTGTTGTTATTTTTGGGAATCCTCAGAATATGGCTGGTCGTAATGACACTGCTATGGCTGCGACATTGGAGGCTATGGCAAGAGCGGTGCAAGGTGCGCCGAATGTGAATGCGAATGATGAGTTTAGAAAGAATCAGCCGCCTGTATTCAAGGGAAGGTTTGTTCCGCACTGAATTTTTGAGGAAGTACTATCCTGAGAGTGTGAAGGGTAAAAAGGAAATGGAATTCCTTGAGTTGAAATAAGGCAACATGTCTGTGGTAGATTACACGACTAAGTTTGTGGAACTAGTTCAGTTTCATCCTCATTATGCAGCTGTTACGGCAGAGTTCTCTAAGTGCATTAAGTATGAGAATGGCTTGCGTCCGGAGATAAAGCAAGCGGTGGGTTACCAGAGGATACGAAGATTTTCGGACTTGACCGAATGTTGTAGGATTTTTGAAGAGGATAGTAGAGCTCGTTTTACTCACTACAAGAGTTTGAGTGAGAAGAAAGGCAAGC